CAGTAACTCGGAAGAGGAGTTCGTCGGGGTCATCTGATTCCTTGGCCGTCTCAATAAAAATATCCCAGTAACGGTCTTCGTCAAAGACACCCGTGTCGATGATCTGGTACTCATTGTCCGCCTTTCCGCGGCGGGCGTTCTCAGCCAAAAGGTCTTCGTAGGGGAACTTCTTCTGGGGGTATTTGTAGAGGAACTTCATGTACGAGTGCTGTGAGGTGTGAGCTTTACGGCGCTGCATGGGAGGGAATGTTTCGGGCTTACGGTCTAAGGGATCCAATGTTAGTTTTTGTTAATGACAATCACGATTGTCTAGAGCTTTGACTTACCGGCGTGTTGTCGACGTGGAAATGGGCCTCCTTGACACCCTCGCCATGGTTTCCCTGGGGGTTTGAAAGACCAAACAGCCTCTCCTTGAGGAAACCACTACCAGCTGGGTTAGCAAGGCGTCCCGTAGACGACGTGCTGCAGCGTAGCAGAAGACTCACTCCTCTTCGTTCCAAAACGCAAATGCGATGTTCTGGAAGCCATGTGTATCACAAACACCCGAGATGCCGTCCTCGCCCCATCGGTAGGCGCGGGAGCGCGAGTGCTCGTGGCTGAAGTCTGCAGAGCGGTCAGCGTCCAGGGCCAACCTCCGAAGCAAAAGAAAAAAAAAAGTGACGTGAACACGGCGGTACGTACGACTCCAAGCATCGCCGTCAGGGCTGTAATCCTCGCGCACTAGATCGGACCGTGTTAGCAAGGTCCAATGGACGAGGCTCTGCACGCTGGGGGCCTCGACAGGAGGAAGCTCTCACCGGTGGCCCACTGGCGCTCCGCGACATAGGGACCCCATTTCTTCCAGTACTTCTCCCGCTTCCTGTCCTGGCCGAGACGCTTCTCCTCCTCGGTAAGGTACTCGTGGCCGTCAAACACAACCATGATGTATTGCTTCTGAAGGTTAGGATGACGAGAACGGAAGCAGAGGACTACGTCGAAGGGGGGAAGAGGGAAAAAGACGGTTGACGAGAAAGATGTGCGCCGGGGACTGGCGAGGTAGACAGAGGAAGTCCGCCGGTCTAGCCTGTTCGAGCCTGCTAGGTCACGTCACGACACGTTCACGGCGATAGGTCCAGAGGCTAATCGTGACACAGGCGCAAGGGGAAAGCAACCAAGAGAGCGGTGGGTAGGGAGGATTGGAAAAGGAGATGGACGGGCAGGCACATGGGGATTGGTTTTAGCGATGGAGGGGGAGAGAAAGCATGCAGTAGCACTTGGGTAGCGGGGTGAAGTTTGCCCAGACCCCAGTTGCATCTCACGCCAAGCTCGAGCTCAAAGCTCGATGGTGTGGATGCGCCTGTTCTTGTTCCTGCTCCTGCCGATTCTACTCCCTGCTCCCTGCTCTGCTACTCTGCTGAGCCTCCCCCGGGATGGGAAAGAAAAGACCTGTCAGATGCTTCCTGCCCACCGCAACTGCAAAATGCAGTCCAACACCTGGGTTGGGAAGTACCATGTAGGTAGGTAGGCAGGCAAGGTAGCTTTGGGGCGCACCCGGCCACTACCTCCCTGGTACATGCCTCGCCGACCAATCCCCGGCAAAGCTTCCGGTAGCGCCGAGTATTCTTGCGATAGCCCACCTGCCCCCTGCCCCTCCGCTAAGGAATGCAGTAATTGCATCGAAGACAGCTTGCTCCGAACATGACGTCAGGTACCTCTAGCGCCAGAGATACGACACCGACCAGCTGCTGAAACCCGCCCGCGTCCAATCCAACCCGGTTCGACTTTGGTGTGCAGGGGCGGCCTCCTCTGCGCTCTGCGGGCCCCGAGCACGGCACCACAAGCCACCTGCGATGGATTTTTTTTTTCTGTATTTCGCGCTGCACTAACACTGGCAGGCATGCTCATCGACCGGGCTTGGGCAGGCACATCACCTCTGAAGTGCGCCACACAAGGCCACAAGCCAGGGCCGCGCCATGGGTTGACAAGGGACGGACGTAGGTCCCGCCCATCCATCGTCGATACCAAGACTGCGATCGGCGATGCACCTGCTGGAAGCCAGAAGCTACGAAACGGGCTTGTCACCCATGTTCACGCCCGCCTTGTCTGCCACTCGAGCGTGAGCCAGCCAGCCTGCCTGCCAACCTGCCAGCCCTTCCGTTTGGACACATCCCAGAGCCGCAGAGCCTCGATGGAGACGTTACAGTGGGCTGCCAGTTCCATGTGCCCATGCCACCCTTGCCTGCCCGTGCTCTTCACCGGCTCGCTGTTCCCAGGTCGCTAGCGATTAAGAACCTCCTAGCGAACCGCCCCCAGGAAGCCCGTCGCCCGGTCTGGACCTCGCTAAAGAGGCGTCTCTGACGACATGTAAGGAGCCATTTTCCGAGGAAGAAAAAAAGTGCCATGCTGTCGAAGGAGGTTCAGAAGAAAAGGGTTGGACGCCGAGGACGCCTTGTCCGATCAAATTGCTCTGTGGGATATCTAAAAGCCATCTTCTCGCTGTCGGCGAGCCCTGCCGGCCGGCATCGCGAGAATACAATCGAATGATGAGAAAGAAAATATGCTGAATCCATATGTACGAATCTCACAGTCAAACTTCTTCCATCCACATGGCCGTCATCAACTCATACCCTCGTTGTCGGCCTATCCTACTTGGCGAACCATGGAAACTTCTTCTTCGACAGGTCCGATGGCCCCCCTGTTGTGCTCTCCACTTGCACGCTGCGCTGGTAAATCTCCTGCACAGATTGTTAGTACAAAGTCAACACAAGCGTCGCAGTGATTCAACATACTTCATCGTCTGTAGGCATGCGGCAATCCAAGATGAGCTCCCGAGCTGATTCCAGCTTCGTGAGATTTGGATAGGCTGTACTCTGACTCTTCATGATGGGCAGCAAGATTTCGCCGAGAACCTCGAACTTTTTCCAGTTGATCCGATCGCTGTCCGTGCCAATAAATGTTTTGCTGCCTTCTTCAGCCGAGACCAGATCTCGACGATGCAGAGGGATGTACGGGATCCGGGGTAGTGGTGAGTTCTCCCACGCCAGTCTGTACGCAAAGTGACTCTTCTGCGTGCCCATGAGGATGCCCAACTTAGCAAACGCCCGCTTCCTGTCCGGCGGCACCAGCGCCCAGGTCTGTGCCAGCCGATGCACTGCAGTTCCGTTGATGCCAGCCAATACCGCTGCCAAGCCGCTGTAGTTGTTCATGCGTCGGAGCTTGCCCGCAACAGCCATGAACTTTTCTAGCATCTGTGCTCGGTGCTTTGGCTTGTCTCTCAGCAGGATCAAGTTTGCTGCCCATTTTGCTACATGGTTGAAGTGGTTGATCATGCGATTCACGTTCTTCAAGCTCCTGCACTTGGCGCGCTGGTCAATTGGCAGGCTGACGTGCCGGACGAAATCTCGAATGCGAATTGACGAGAACATGACCCAATCAATCCGCGTCATTTCTTCGGCTATGTCGTCTTCGGGAATGTCCATAAAAATATGATAGCGGAACTTGTTCATGGGCAAGACGTCAGTCGGCTCCATGGTGGCAGCCTCCCTCTCATAGTCATCGAAGGACTGCAAAGAAACAAAGCTGTTGACCCTGTCGACCTGCAAGATGTCGGAACTGCCAGATGGTCTGTCGTCGCCCATCTTGTCGTCGTCCAGATACAAGCTGCTCACGCCGACAGAAATGTCCGACATGGATCGTGACGCTTCCTTGGACAAAACCCGACTGGCCGCCTTGTCAGCGACGTCATCTGACTTGGCCCAACCGGTGTCATCGTCTTCCACCACGCTATGTTCGAGATGCTGGCGGATCTGCCGCGCTGCAATGCAGAATATGGGTTCTGTGGAGAGATGGCGTATGAAATCCTCCAGATTCCGTCGCGTGGCAGGACGGGCGAAATCCCCTGGATACAAAGATACCCATCGAGCCACAACCTCAATGATGCGAAGCTGAATGGCTGTCTTGGTCAGGTGGTGCGCCGTCTTGTCGTCCCGAACGCGGTCGAGCCTAATCAGTATAGATGAGAAGAGCTCGCCTGGGGCGGCAAACTTCCGGTAGAGGCATAGGAACACCTCGAGAAAGTTGTGATCGGCTCTCGACATCTTCAACGAGATCAGCCGATCAACGAGCTCACCAAATGACACGCCGGCGGCAGCCTTGGCAGGCTTATCAGAGAGAGCCTCGTCATTGCGTTGCAGGATGGGTATGTCATCGGGGCTGTTGCGTGATTCGGCGTCTGATTCGTCCATGTCCAAGAAGGAGTCGTTCGGCGCTCGGTCTAGTCGAATTCCAGGCGTCCGGAGCATACTCGAGACGGATTGATGGAATTCGTCGCCAGAAGGCTCTGCTGCGAAGGTCGAGGCGCCCGGTTGGGCATTGTTGAAAGCGGCCAGTCGGGGGCTTCGGGACGATGGTCGGTACTGGTCGATAGGCGCACCACGCAGCAGGGACAGATCCGAGCTTGCGCGGCTGTGTTTGCTCTGCTGGCTGAGGGGTCGATTGGTGGGTGCGTCGAGTGTGTCGAGATTAGCAGTGGATGCCGCGCGCCGACGCGACGCTGCCGGCTCAGCCCCTTGAGGATCTGCCTCGCGAGTCAGTCATGGTTCGCTAAGATGGTGAGACGGTGGCATCCTACCCTTGCGGTTGGCGACTGCCGCCTTGACCACTGTGTGCAGGCAGGCTCGTGCTCTTTCGGGCGCGTTGGAGGAAAGGTTGTAGGTAGCAACGCATGATTTGAACAAGTCATGATTGGCAACGAGCTGCGTGTCGACCTGGCGAACGTTGCCAGGGTCACATTTGTTGGCGACGAGGACGGCCGGAAGGCCGGCTTTGGTCAAAGCAGCTGGGCGGTCATATCAGTTACATGTCCAAGAGCTACAAAAGGGGAGATGAGGAGAGGGGGTCGGCTGTTGTACCGATAGTTTCGGGGAGTTCCTTCATTGTTTCCCCCTTGGTAACATCATATAATATTAGCGCGCCATCGACGCGAGGCACGATGTGACCGTTGATCTGTTTTGGCCATTGTATGGGATGGGCGGGGCTCATGTCGAAGTATTCAAGATCGAGCTCGAGTAGTGTGACGCCAAAGGTCATGTTATCGACGACGAGGCGGACGCTCGAAGCATTGGAGATTGGTGGGCGCGAGAGGCCGAGAACGCGCTGGATATAGGAAGATTTGCCGACGCCAGTGGCACCGATGATTCTGTATTCCGAATCGCGTCAGCGGACTCTGGATCCTTAAGTGAGGAGGGCGAGGGGAAGAGGAGAGGTTCTGTATGTGCAGGATGACGCACGCTATGTTGAGACTATCCATATTGGCTGAGTTTGGTTGCTGCATAGATAGTGCGGTCAGCGCCAATCATGCGAGTGTGCCTGAATGCGCGTGGCAGCACGGCGTACCCAATGAGGTGTGTGTCCGATAGTTAGGGACTCTCTTCGAGGTGGCGGCCAGCGCTGGTCATCAGAGTCGTCATCGCGGATCGGGGGTCGCGTCGTGAGAGGATGGGTCGGATTCGAACAGCTGCAGGTCGCGTATGTTGTGGTCGTCAAATCGCTGGAAGAAGGGATCGTCAACGATTGATGTGAAGGAGTCGCGGTAGCTGTCGGGGACGTCGGCTGCGAGGACAGACCGGTCTCTGGGGCGAGGTGCGACGGGATCGACAACAGGGGGCGCAGCGGCGGGTCGCGAGGGAGGAGCGGCGGGGGCGGATCGGTGGGCGGCTTCGCGGTCGAGGCGTGAGGAGGACCGCGGAGGAAAGCCGGCGCCTTCTGAACTCCTGTGAGTCTGGCGGGTTCCTTGACGATGGTGGGCCATGGCCGCGACCGTTGCGGAGGGGGAAGGGGGGGGGGAGAGGTGCGGACAGAGCGTGCAGAGGCAGATGGGGAGAAGGACAAGGGCAGATTGGCACGTACAAGAGAAGGGGGAGAAGTGAGGCACACTGGTTTCTCTAATTGAGGGAGACCAGCTGCAGGCCGTTGGTGGTGGGGTTCGCCTGACTAAAGTGATGTCAGGATGGGATGAAGTCGGTCGGGCGACGCAGAGCCTCAGACAGCGCAGGATGGGTGGAAGCCCTGGTCTGGTTGGATCTCTTTGGCGGTCCAGAACTGTGGTTATGGTTGTTGGGTTCCACCTCTGCGCATACGGGCTTGGTTGCTTGCTTCCTGGCCTGCCAGACCAGGCCGGGCCGTGTGGGCGTTGAGATGTGACGGAATGGCGGACGTCAAGCTGGGGGGGGGGTTCGCTTTCGAGGGGGGGGAAGGGACCAGTCCGGCGCCGCGCGAGAACTTTTTTTTTTGGCGGCAACTGGAAAAGGGCGTGGCAGTGATGTCGGGGGTGCCTGTTGATGCGTCTCGACTTGATTGTGTATCGCCAGGGCCAAGGGTGCCGCAGAAAGCAAGGTGTTCGGTTGAGTAACAGGGAGACAGACTGTGTCTGGTGCGGGTGCGGGTGAGTTGCAGTGCACCCCGAATAGGCACTTCTGAGACTAGGGGACCAGTCGTGGCCCAATTGCGTCGGGGCAGAAGGGGTGTCGTCGGCGAGGAGGGGGAGGGGGAAGGGGTCCGGTTGGCAGTTGCGTGTTCTCAAAGGGTTCGTGGCGCCGCAGCCGTCACGACGACAACAAGTGAGACTCGACGAACAGGCGCTGGGATGGATGCGAGGGGCAGAAACACAGAAAAAAAGGGAGAGGATGTGTGGTCCCGAGCAGATTGGGATAAGAAAGGTGAAGGCGGAGAAGCCTCGTCGCCTCGCATTGAACTGGGTACGAGGGCAGCAGGTAGGTAGGTATATCAGGTCTGATGCGGTCAGGGAGCTTGGACTGGACCGATGTTCCGCTAACGAGTCTCCAGCAAAACGACGGGCACTTTTTGCCTGAGTCGGGAGGTTCCTGCCTGTCTACATACCTACCTACCTGCCTAGGTAGGTACTTTGCTGTCTATCTGACCCGCCTTATCACCTCCTGACTGCCATGACCATCGGGCCAGGCAGGACCTAGGACAGGTGTGTCGCACTTTTTCTTGCTTCACGTCTCGCGCTTCGTTCACGTTCATGCCAAAACAACGGACCCGTCCAATGATATTCTGTGGTGTGACGGCGACCCCTTTTGCCTGGCCGTTGGTGGCTTGGACTAGCCGCTGAGGTAAGGCTTCTGTCGCCTTCCGTTGGTGCTTCTACCTGAGGAAGGAGGTCTGAGTGGCAGTCTTGTCTTGTCATTTCACCTTGAGTCTGCAGGTGCCATCCGACGTCATTGGGGCGCGGCAACCCTGGGTTGCATGTTTGCATGATGTGCTACAGTGAGGGGTTCCCGCCGGCCCCGAGGCAATCTACTTTGCGGTTTCTCTGAAAGCTGGATAGGCAAGTACCTACTAGGAGGCAGATTCTCAGCAAGAGAAGCCAGAGAACGTATCGACACGAGCAATCATGGCACATCATAGTGCTGCCAAGACCTTCACGCCCGCTTCTGGCCATCATCTTGCCATTCCCCGCGACAACATGCCCTTCGGCGGGGCACCATGTTCGGTTCATCGGCCTCCCGTTGGACGGCAGAGTTCCCGGAAGGTTATCCCTCCAGTCAATTGTCAGCGGCGTCCCTGCGGTAGGAGGTTTGCCGATGGCCAAGGCTGAAGCAGCCTGGGGCGGTGATCATGCCCGGAACTGGAGATGCTACGCTGTTTTGCCGTACCGCCAGGCGAGCCCAAGATTTTCGGTAGCTCGTTTACCTCTTTCTCGCCGTTTTTAACTGGGTGTCCCAGTCGAGAGAAACTGTCTGAAGCTTGTCGACTCGGTC